CTTCGATTTTGCATATACAACCTCATTATATTATGTCGCAGTCGCGCGGCATAGTGCGCTGCGGGTATTACTATATATATATATATATATATATATATATATATAGAGGATAGCGATTCAAGTGTTTTTATTTTTTTATTTTTGAGCGTGAGACCCACTGTGGAATGTTGGAGCGGACGGCTATTATGAAATAGGAGGAGGAAAAAAGAATAAAAGAAAAAAAGAAAAGGTCCGGAGAAAAATAAAAAGATGGGAGAGAACTTGGCGTGGCTGCAGTGACGACTGTGATGAAGAGGAAAGAGGATGGGGAAAAATATATATATTTTTTATTTATTGCGTGAAATTCTCTAATATTAATGTAAAGTTTGCATGAAATATTTTTATTGTCCAAAATTAATATTTGATTCGAAATAAAGACCTAAATTACGAAAAATTTTATACAAATAAAAATGTAAAATATCTTAAATAATATTTTGAATAAAATAAATAAATAAATAATTGATTAATCCTTCAATTTATAATTTCTTGGAGATAAATTGCTATCTTATTTTTACAAAAAAAACTATATAAATAAATTATTAATCAATTATTTATTTATTTATTTTATTAAAAAAAATTATTTAAGATATTTTACGTTTTTTATTTGTATAAAAATTGTATAATTTAAGTTTTTATTTAGAACAAAACATCAGTTTTGGACAAAGAGAATATTCCATACAAATTCTACGTTAACGTAAAAGAGTTTGACGCAATAAATAAAATACAAAATATTTTGTGCCTTTTAGTTAAAACACAATTAAATATTATACAACTGCTAAAAAAAAAAAAGTAGTTGAAAAGGACTTAAAATTTTGATTGAATATTTTTATTTAAAAATAGGGGTAAATATTTATGGGATATTATTTGTGGTAGCGAGAAGGTTTGAATTAGTTTAGGTGAATTGAAGGCTATTCTATTACCCAATTTATTAGAATTACCAAATTTATTTACGGAAATACAAGACACATTATCTAAAGGGACCATTTAACATATTAGAAAAAAAAATATAAGAGATGACATGATGTATGGAATGGACTCGTGACCATGAAGTCATGGTTCAAACCCTGAGTATTTTAAATAAAAAGAAAAATCTAAAATAGGTGTAAAAATTTTTTAACTGTATTTGCTCAAACTGCTTTTATACTTAAAATTGGTAATTAATTTATCTATTTGATTAGTCAGATTAGCAATTTAGGGTGTGTTTGTTTGGGTGTTTGGATTTTGAGTTGGGATTTGAATAGTAAAAATTTTGAATTTGAATAGTTGTGTGATGTGATATTAAATAGGTGTTGATGTGATGTTTTGAATGTAAAATTGATTTTTTGTATAATATAAAAAATGAAAAATAGGTGTTTGATTTGATGTTTTTGGGAAAAAAATTAGATGAACAGTGTAAATCCAATCCAATCCCCCAAACAAACACACCCTTAGTATAACACAGTTCAGTGATTTGCAAGTTGTGCTATATAGATTTTTTTTTCAATTTAGATTTTTGCAATCACTGGTCAGTTACTAATAAGGTAATAAAAGATGTTGATACTATTTTGGAGAATAGTATAAAATTCGAGGTACTGCAACAGGTTTAACCCGGTAAAATGATGAGTTTCAAATTTATTTTCACTACTCATTTTATGTTGAAATTGTTAGCAAAAAAACAAGTATATTGTCGGCGGCAAAAAACAAGCAACTCAGAATTAAATACCAAAGTACTCTTATTTTTTATTTTTCACATTACTTTTCAAAGTTAAATAGACATTACATTCTTTTATTATACCTATTATATATCTATAAAATACTAATTTACATTAATCCGTGTGCAAAAGTCAGAATGAAATTATTTATATATATTTAGGGACCCCTTGTTTTTGTTTTAAATTTTTTTGTTTGTTTAAAAGAAAATATTAGACAAAATTAATATTAATATTATTACTGATATTATTGCATCAAAAAATACTAGAAAATTGTTTTATTTTTTTAAAAAAATATTTACATTTTATTATAGGTAAATAAATATGATTTATAGATATTTAAGGACCTCTAAATTTTATTTCGTCCCAAGTCTTTCGAAAGTAAAGACCGACCCTGATTTGAAAGAAAGTTGATGAACAATCGAAGATTTATTTTTATTTTTTTTCAACAACATATTTTCTTTCAGTTACTTGTTTGTAAATGTTTTTTTATAGTTTTATGTGTTTGTTTGTTTATTTATTTTATAAAAAAAATTAATTAATTTTTTTTTTCTCATGGAAGATTGGTGATTTCATTGCTCAAGAAATAGATAATTATTTGGTAGAAAAGTTCAAAACTTCTTTTCGGCATTGCATGCATTGATCTCTGAATTCATTTGCTAGCTTTGGAAAAAAAAAAATGAGTGTCCTTTTCTTTTTCTTTTTTTGTCATTCAAAGTATTGATGATCTTGTTAAAAGAATGGTCGAAAGAAAATGATACACGGCTCTGAAGTTGATGTATCGACTCATTGAATTGCCAGTGATTTTATCAGTTGCAATAATTATCATTATTCGCGATGAAAATTATTAAAAATGATTTGCTTAATAAAATGAGAGATGAGTTTTTCACATATAGTTTACAATACTTTATTTTAAAAAAAAAATTGTTAAAATTAAAAATAAAATACTTTGCAACGTTTTCAAAATACGATAAATCGAAGATTTTAATTGTCAAATGGATAGTTTTATTCTAACAATGTTTAATAATGTTTAATATTATTTTTACTAGAATTTATAATTTTTAGTTTTAATATTTATTTTGTTTAAAAAACGTGCTCTCTTATTTAATTCCTAGTTCCGCCATTTAAACTCAAGATCTAAATAGAACCCAATAATTTGAACTCGAATTCCAACAATATACATTCTTTTATATTTTACATTATTTTCTAATGAAAAAAAATGCTCATATTCTTTTTTAAAAAATGTATTAATTTTTCTAGAAAACATATAAAAAGTAATTAAAACAAATATTTTAATAATTTTCAATAATTAAAATTCTAAAAAAATCAAACACATAGAAAGAGAGCAACTAAATATTATAAAAAAAACATATAAAATATTCTTAATTATCATTTTATATATATTTTGCTAATATCAAATAATTATATTACCAAATATTTTAGTACAAGTAGCTGATATATTCATCCAATCAAATTAATTAACAACTATTCGAATCAACTAAAAATTAATTAAGAAACACCCCATTATTTTTTTAATTTACATTTTCAAATAAAATAATTTTTGCTGTGCATTTATTATCCAATATACAAAATTATACACAAATGTGGTGTATTTAGTTTCAATTTATACACTTTGTGAATAAAAATGTATTTTTTTCCATCCATTTTATAAGTATATATATATATATATTTTTTTTATAGAATTTAACAAATATTATATTTTAATAATAATTGGTGATAATTTTGTATATAAAAACTATTTTACTCCTATTATATATAAAATTATAATGATAATATTACTATAAATAAATATAAAGGTAATAATATTTGTAATATATAATAGAGTCTATTTACTCTTAAAAATGAAATAATTAAGTTTTCTTTGGACAAAAAAGAAATAGCAAAATATGTAATTACCAAAGTGAACGGAGCAAATATATTTTTTACAAAATATTGTACTAAATTAATATTTAAATCAAAATTTTAATTTTAATTTTAATTTTAATTTTAAACCAAAATCAAACAAACCTTACTCGAATTTGATTTTTTTTTTTATTTTATAAAAAAATATATATAATCATTTTAATTCTCCACAAAAATTACTTTAAAAAAATATTATATTTGAACTATTATTCAAATAAAAAATAAAACACTCAAGTTAATTCACATTAAAATAATTTTTTCTTATAAAATATTACATATAATATATATTTTTTTACACCATTTGTCCAAAAACTATGCTCATATTGAATAATTACTTAATATTGAAGTTCATTTTAAAAATTTAAATTTAAAAATCTCTAGAACCAATTAATCCCTTAGTAAACCAAATTAATTCAATAAATTTGAATTACATGTATATATTTTTCAACTCAATATAATATTTTTATCATTTTAATCTGTCTACTGATATGAACTTATTTTCTATAGTATAGTAATTTTTTAATATCAAAATAAAAAAATACTTATAACTTTTACAAAAATATCACTTTGTAAATGGATATATTTGATCGAAATAGGAGAGTATATATATATTGGATAATATACTTTGTTAATGTTTGATTAATTTGATAATTTGAAATTTTTAAAATAATAAAAAAAATTAATATTTTAATAGTATAATATTTTATATAAAAATTTTAATATTTTCGTCTGTCCTAACTTTAAGCATTATTATTATTATTATTATTATTATTATTATTATTATTGTCTCTTATCTTCAACATATATTTTTTTTTATTTTAATAAAATAATAATATATTAATACTAAAAAATCTTTATTTTTTATTTAAATTAATATACAATTACATTTAAAATTATTTTATATATAATAAAAATATCAAAACTTTTTATATACTTTTACGAACCTATAAAATATATATAAGTTTGTTCACAATTTCATATAAATATTATTAAAAAATACAAATGTACACACGTATTAACATAATATATACATGATTTATTTATAAAATATCAATAATTTAATATAAAATATTATTATTCTTTATATCACCAAACGTAATTTTCTATACCACATGTAAAAAAATTTAATCTAAAAATTTAATCAATTATAAAGACCGAAAGAATATGATATTTTTTAAAAATTTAATAATGTAAAAGAGCCGTACCAACACGCTTCAATCAATTTTACTATGGCTTCGTTTCCATGCCACGTGGCAAGAAACCCACGAGCGTCGCAGTCGAGCCCTATTGCCGCCTCTGCTGGTTCTCTGCTACCCGTCCATGACAGACCCGACCCGACCCGATTCCGAAGAGCGCCACCTGTTTATAGTAAGGAATGCCCTAGACAGACGAGTACCGTTGCATCTGTGATTCTCAAAATCAAACTGATCTCTCAGAAAGTCACTAACGTGATCGGAGAACTATGGCGATGCGAATGGCCATTTCGCGCTATGGAGCCTTCCGTTCGATGGAAAGCTATTGGCGATCATCCGGTTCAAGTGTTCGATGCCTAAGCGATGGCAAGGGCCGTGTGCTCAGCGAAGAGGAGCGTGCCCAGGAAGCTGTGTATATTAAGGTTATCTATATCTCTGTTTGGCTTTCGTATTTATTTGTTGTTAGGATATTTTGGAATATGTTTGATTGGGCGAGTCTTGTGGCTATTGAGTGTGATTTATGGATTCCGATCCTCGTATCGTCATTTTATTTATTTATTTCCCCCTCGTTTGGAGCGAAGAAAATGGAGAAGGAAAAAATGGAGAAGTTGAAGAAGGCGGGAGAGCTGGAGAAGCCTGAGAAGGAGAAAACAGATAAGGTAAATTTGTGAGAATATTTATGCAAAACATGATAATTGATTTGAGGCTTCTCAGTGAACAAGTTGAATTAATGTAATGCAGTGAACAATTCTATAGTTTCTTCTTGATATGAGATTTTGAATGCACTTATTGAAAATAACAAAAAAGGAAAGATTAAAGTCATTTTGCAATAATAATTGTTCTAAAAAATATATTTTGGGAATTATTTTGAAACTACATCTTTTTTCCTCTTATATTAATCTGGGAGTTTAAAAGAAAGTTTTCAAGATGGTATTGATCTTTGTGAATTTCTACTTTTAAGAGTTATGTGTGGAAATATTGCACTTTGATTATTTGTGTTCTTCAAGATAACATGGTGGATCTGCATTGGTTTCAAATTGTGTTACCAACCAGTGTAAAATTTCTATTGAATATTTGAACCACAACCTTATAAGAAGTTTATTGAACAAGATAATAAACACAGGCACCATGCCTGATAAAACTTTCATTAATTGGTAATTTTCTAATCCAATGATGATTAAATGATGTAGCATTTGGATTATGTATTGTTGGACGTAATTTAATCTTATTTATTGAATTGATGTTTTAATATAATGATGAATTAAGTAGGTGTAGTTTTAGGAGCATGCTGTTAAACAATATGGCATAAAAAAAATTCAAACCATATATAAAATTTGTTGAACTGTGAATTCACCATTATATCGAGATTATTTAAATAATGCCTCTTTAGAGAAGGGTTTTGAAACCGACATGATTTTACTATGTGAAGGGGAGAAGGTGATGTTCCCAAGTGTGCTAGGATATCAGTGGGGAATACAAATCTCAGTGTCATGCTTTCTAAGGCTTCTATTTTTCCATCTTGTTTAATTTAGCAAGCATGGATAACTTTGTTATAACTATACACGTGCAATGCTTGAAAAGAGAAGATATACACTTTGCGGTATGAGTTAATTCTTATGTTCTGTATGCTTGTTTCAATCTTTGATTTAGCCCTCATAGGTGAGGAAATCATCTTCAGAGCTTTTAGGTAAAAATTAACAAAAACCTTCAGTCATCTGGCTTTTCTTTTCCTTAGAGAAACCGTAACATGAACCTGATTGTTTGGGAAATATCAGTGTATGAGTAATGGTCTCATTAGTGGCCATCTTATGGAGCATGACTGGAGTGAGCCATCATTAATGTGGTGTATATGAATGAATGAATACTAAGGATGTGTTTGTTTGTGGGTTTGGATTTATGAATAGTAAAAAGTTGAATTTGAACAGTAGTTTGATGTGATATAAATAAATATTGATGTGATATTTTGACTGTAAAATTAATTTGTAGTATAATCTAAAAAAAGAAAAGTAATTATTTGATTTGATATTTTTTGAGGAAAAATAAAATTTGAATAGTAAAAACATGTGGTAAAACCCACAAAAGAACACAACCTAAAACCTAAGAAATTCTTCCCCGTGTTGTCTGCATATATATCTGATTTTGTATAAGTAAAGTTCATTCCGAAAGCTGATTCAATTACTTTTCTTATGTTATATGAAGGTTGGAGAGGATCAAAAAAGATGAACTGGTTGTCTGTTTTGGTCGGCTGAAGTCGTTGGTTTCTCACATCTGAAGAAATAAATGTAAGCAGATTTCGGTGTACCTTTGGTTCTTGTATGGAAACCATATTGTGTTTCTGTGTTTTTGCACACTGCTTGCTTGCCTGCTTTGCCTTGTTTTATTTCTTCTATAGTTTTACGCGCGATTTTGTTGTCGAAATCTGCATCAATTCAATTTTATTTTAGTTGACGTAGTTCTACTGAGGCAGGCCATAAGGCCATAGAAAGAAGTCTCTTTTACAAATCTATCAAGGCTTCTTTCTCTCTCTATGCTTGATCCTTTGAGATTATATATGGTTGGTTTATAGGAATTATTATTGATGCTTGAAATTGGTAGCTTATATTGTGAAAACAAATACTACCTAAACCTAATCCTCTAATCATTCAGAATACATACTACAGCAAGTATGTGTTCCTGGAACTTGAAAAAAGAAAAAAGAAAGAAATTAATGATCGATTTCCAGGACTGAGAAATTAAAAGCTGAAGAGGAAGGTTGTAATATACTTCTTCTGTTATTTAATTGTGTGTTCATTTGATCGAGTACGAATTAAAAAAAAAAAGTAGTTAAAAAGTTAGAAACTTGTACTTTTTATAGTATGAAAAAATATAGAAAAATGTTGAATTTTTTTACTACTACAAACTAATTTTGGTTGTGGGTAACAAGGAATTGTAAAAAACTTAAAAAATAAGGTGTCTCTTTTGTTATTATTATTATTTTTTTTATTTTATTATTTGAATTTTGTATTTTTTTTAAAAAAAATACTCTTTTCGTCCAATAAAATTAAAGCATTTGTGTCCGATACGAAGATTAAAAAAAAAAGAATATTTTATTAAAAAATATAAAACGAAAAAGGTAATTTTCAAGTCAGCTGCTCCTTTACGTCTACGTTAGCAATTTTCATTAATTTTTAATAGTGAGATCAAAATTAATTGAAATTTTTTATAATGAGATCAAAATTAATGAATTTTTTTATATTAAGACCAAAATTAATTTTTCTCCCTAATAATTCAAAAATACATCAGGCAACGAATAATAATAATAATAATAATAATAATAATAATAATAATAATAATAATAATAAGCTTAGTGTAAAACTCCATTTTCAATTTAGATTGTTTTAATCAAATCCATAAATAATAAAATTAGTAATAATAATAATAAGTGTAGTGTAAAACTCTATTTTCAATTTAGATTGCTTAAATCAAATCCATAAATAATACTCCCTCCGTTCCACGTAATTTATCCCTATTTTCTATTTTCGTCCGTCCCACATAATTTGTCCTTTCTATTTTTGAAAATATAATTATGCACTTTAATCGCATTTTAAATTTTAAATTTTATAATTTTCTTATTTTTAATTAAATTATTTACTTATCTTAATCTTAATCTTAATCTATAATTATTTTTACTAATATACTTCTTAATTACTTACTAATTATATTTTACCTAAATTCTCGTATTTACGGTAATAGTACCATATTTTCTGGGACGGAGGGAGTAGTATTAAAGACAAATTGACAATTTTATCCACTAAATTCACCTAGGACTTTAATTTATCATAAAATCTGGGAAACTGGTGTAATGCACAATTTTTTTTTTTTATATTTTATTTTTTTATTCATCAAAATTTTTATATGCCTTCATTAAATTTTTATTAAAAGAAAACATTTATAATTTTCTCATAAAAAGTTAAAAATTAAATTTATATAATCATTAGTTATGTAATTAATAGAGAATTTATTTTAAAAATTTAAATTTAAATTAATTATTTAATTTTAAAATGAATAATATATAGTTAATAGTATTTACTACATATTTAATACTACCTCTGCATACCGTGTCTGCTACATTGTAGACACGGTATTTTATGAAGGGTATAATTAGTAGATAATTAAAAATATATTAGTAAAAATAATTATTCGATAATATAAATAATTATAAATTAAGATTAAGATAACTAATTAGTTTAATTAAAATTTAAAAAAAATAAAATTAAAAAATTTAAAATGAGATTAAAATATATTTACTACATATTTATATATTTAAGTATGTGGGACGAATATTTACTACATATTTATATATGTTTAAATAGTATTTACTACATATTTATTTTATTAAAAATAAAAATGAATTGATTGAGTAGACCCCACAAACCTCTTTTAGATAGATGACTACAATTTATTTACCCGAACTTGGTAGATAATATTTATTGATTAAAACAAAAAATATATATATATATATTAAAACTATCAAAAAGATTATTTATGAAATTAAAAGTTATGTTAATTGTAAATTAAAAAAATAATAAATTAGAAAATAGTTTATTAGTAAAGTAAGTAGCATAATTAAATCTGATATACTTCAACAAAAAATAGAAGCTTCTAGACAATGCAATGTGATAAGAGAAACAATTAGATATATTTTTCATTCTCCATTATTGTTGATATATTTAAAGAAATGCAGTCAGTATTTTTTACTTCAACTATCGAAAATAGAAAACCAACATTTTTTCTTTATCATAATTTATAGGTGTAGGAAAAGAAAATAAATAAATAAATAAATTAATAAATAGAAAACCAATATTTTTTTCTTTTGTGTTTAATTAAGCATATATATATATATATATATAAGTTTAGTTAGTTTGATCTCCAATTAATGTACATAAAAAAAGACACTATTACACTCTTGAAATCTAATAACATGTCATTAGACCTATTAAGAATATATAACATATTATGCAGTCAAATAATATATCATTAGAGCTATTAAAAATATAACATTAGCACTATAACTTCGTAGTAAATACATGAAAATATAGCGATAACCTACCAAAGTATCACCGTTTTTTTATTATTCATCTTACTAAAGCCGGAACAAAGGTGCAGAAACATTTTTTACTTTTTTTTCAAGTTCTTTTGTCATTCGGTAATAACGGCAAAGAGAATCAAACATTTTACATGTTAGAGCATTCAAATATTTTGTCCTCGTGTTAACGGGTAATAACTACAAAGAGTATTCAAACATTTTTACACATACATTTGAAAGACTTCTCTATTGAAATTCTTGTTGAATAATACCGAGTCTTTAGGATTAGTTGGAACAATTTTTTTTTTTCTATTTTTATTATTCCTTCAGCTTTAGCACTTCCTATTTTTTAGGAAGTTAGTTTTCATGTAGGCTACTTATAAGCCAGTTAGTATCTCGAATAAAATAAACTTTTTATTGAACTTGTTCTTAATTCTATTTTACACTCTACCAGACCTTTGATAAAAAAATTTATCAAAGCTATACATGAGAGACTGTGAATTCAAAATGAGTGATGATAAAGCTCCGAGTGTTCCTCAATTTGATGGTCAACATTATGACCACTTGAGTGAATTGATGAAAAACATATTTAGGGCTAAAGGGTTGTGGAATCTTGTGCAAAATGATGCACAAAAAAACAACTAGAAAATGCACAAAATGAAGGATTGCAGAGCAAATGGTATTTTTTTCGAGCCATAAATGGTCACCTTTAAGAAGGTACTCGATAGAAGCACTTCCAAAAGCATTTGGAATTCTTTGAAACTCTAAAATGGAGGAAATAAATAGGTGAAATGAGTCCAACTCAATACTTTGAGAAGGAAATTTGAAGTATTGAAAATGAAGATGGGAGAAACAATCACATAATATTTACAAAAATGATGTATTTGTCTAATCAAATGAGGAGCAATGGAGAAAGCATGACAAACGCCAAAATAGTTGAAAAGATATTAAGAACCTTGACTGAACGGTTTATCTATCTCAATTGAATATTCGAATTATACGACCACTATGATAGTTGATGAACTGCAAAGTTCCTTGGTGGCTCACGAACAAATATTTAAACGACCTGATAGACATGAAGATCAAGTCTTGAAGGTCAATGCAGAGAGATGACAAAAGGACATGGTGGTAGATTTTCTAGTAAAGGAAGAGGACGCGGAAGGGGACTACAAACCTCTGATAAAACTTTTGTGGAATATTACCATTGTCATGAATTATGGCACTTTCAGTATGAGTGTCAAATTGGGAGACAAACTATATTGACCAAGAGAAGAAAGAAGAAACACTTTTTATGGCATGTGTTGAACCCAAAGAAGAAAAGGTGGATTCGTGGTATTTGGTCTCAGGTTGCTCAAACCATATTTGAGTGGTGATCGGTTAAAGTCCACCCAACTTGACACTAAATTTCAACGATCTGTGAAGCTAGGGAGCAATTACAAGAGAAGCTACACTCTCCCAAATGTATTTTACATTCCTGGGTTAACTAGTAATCTTTTCAATATTGGTCAATTACAAGAAAGAAAAATTCCCGTTATGTTTCAATATGGGAGATGTAAGGTTCATCATCCAGAAAAAAGGGTCTCATCTTCGAAACCACTATGGCGAAAAATAAGATATTTGTTGTGAAAACAAAACCTATGATTGAAGAATATCTCTACACCAGTCAGCAAAGTGAAGATTTGACTAATCTGTGGCATTGTCGGTTTGCTCATCTAAGCTATAAAGGCTTAAAGACTCTCCAATAAAAGGAAATGATATGTGGTCTACGTTTGTCAAAGTCCCAGCCTAAGAAAAATTCTTGGAGAGCCACAGTTAGACTATATAGTCCATGCTTATTAATGTAGTCCAGTTACTCCATAATCAAACAGTGGTAAGAGGTATCTTTATGTTTTATTGATGACTACACTCGTAAAGAATAGACCTATTTTCTTACTGAAAAATCTAAAGTATTGGATTACTTTAAAAATACAAAAAATTGGTAGAAAATGAAAATGGTCTGACCATTAAGGGTTATGAACAGACAAAGAAGGAGAGTTCAACTCATATGAATTCAATCCGAACTGTTCAGGCACAACTCTTTAGAAACTCTTGCAGAACCAGGACAGGTTCCATGGCCAAAATGGACCAAATAATGAGAACCAAACTAAGAATATGAATTATGTGTTGGCATGTAGTTCATTTACTAAGAAATTGAACAGTTCAATGACAACGTGTCCACTGGACAATTGGTAAAACCTACATACTGCTAAAGGAAAGTTTAAAGAAAAACTTATTTATCCAATGCAGAATTCACTCTTCTTTTATCAAGTTAACGCCATTTCCTCTTTCATGTGGAGGATTGTTGGTGAGTGAAAGAGAAAGAAGAATAGAATTGGTCTTGTCCCACATGGGAAGAATAAACAAACCTTCGTCTCCTTATATGGACTTACACCTATTATTGTTCAATTGGGATTGGATTAGATATTGGCTTGGGCCCTGACTTGGGCTTTGGCTTGGGCTTGACATTATATATATATATATATAGTCAAGATTGAGTGTTAGGCTTTAGGGCCGTGGGGGCTCGTGGGTTGGGCCCAATCGTAGAAAAATCCAATTATTTAAGTTTTGCTTTTATCTGATTAATTTATTTTGATAGTTTCAAATTTAATCGGATAAAGCAAAAATGTTGCAATATATTGCAACTTGTTACAAAAGTGGAAGAGGTTACGGATTTTATGGCGTGTAATTTATTCTTCTTCTTAAAATTAAAAAACTCACTATTTTCTTTTCAGTTTTCTTCAAAAACTTCCAAAGATTTTCTTGGTTCGGTTCGTGGTGGGATCGTGAATCCTTAATTGATTCATTTTATCCTGGAAAGCAATCGAAAGTGGAGCTTGCCGCCAAGCGGGAGGATCTCGCAAGTGGACTAGAGTATATTTTATTGAGCTCATGTGTGATTTTAGCAAATAGTTTTCTGGACACGTCGTACTGCACCAATTTTATAGAGATTTTTTTGGATATGGGCCATTGTTAATTCTCTAATGATCAAGTTAATACGGTTATTAAGATAGAATGAACCGGTCGAATTAGCTACTCTTCTCACTTTTAAAGATAGTTGAGTTGTAATTTTTTTAGGCATATTAAATATGAGTCTAAATGAACTAATTTATGCAGGTCGAGGGTTAGGAATTGATTAACCCGCAGGTCATATAAATATAATAATGATTTTTTTTCCGTATTTTTTTTTTATTATTTTCATCGGTTACACTCAAAAAATATTTTTAAGTTTTAGATAAATTACAAATATTATACATAAAGTAATAGTTTGGTTATGTGGAATGAACTCGTAACTTTGTCTGTTACACGTAGCTTGCAAAAATATTAAAATAATCTTATCGTTGTTATTCTTTATTGTTTAAAGGGTAAATAATATAACACTCTTTTGTGTTTCAGTAAAATGCACAAAACACTGTGTTTTATTTATTGCGTGAAATCTTTTTATGTTAATACAAAGTTTGCATGAAATATCCTTTTTGTCCAAAACTAATACTCCATTCGCCCAACTACAAAGTATATATATTCCAATTACAAAGTAATCATTTCATTAAATATCCCACTTTTTTCCGCAAATACTTTTATTTTACATCACATCATTACTTTTATACTAAAAAGTAAGGGCAAAAATATCATTACACTATTTTTATTTACCCACTATAATTAAAATACTATTATTTCTTAAACTCCGTGCCAAAAGTAAATGTATATTTATTGTTTGGACTGAGGGAATATTTGGTTTTAAATAAATACTTAAATTACGCAAGTTTTATACAAATAAGAAACGTAATATATCTTAAATGATTTTTTTTAATAAAATAAATAAATAAATAATTGATTAATCATTTATTTTTATAGTTTTTGTAAAAATCAGATAACAATTTGTCTCAAAAAACTATAAAATAAAATATTACTCAATTATTTTTTATTTATTTTAATTCAAAAAAATATTTATTTTTTAAATAAATATTTTATATTTTTATTTGTATAAAACTTGTATAATTTAGATATTTATTTAGACTCAAACATCAATTTTGAACGATCATAGTATTTCGCAAACTTTGTACATTTTTAATAAAACCAGGGTGTTATATATAATTTACCCTTATTTAAATTATAGGGTATTATTATTTTTCAAATATTAATTATAAAAATATTTATAATTTTAATATGTTTTAAATATTATTTAAAAATTGGCCCGCATAACTCACAATAATTATTTTTTAAATATTCATTACGACTTTATTTATAATTTTAATATTTTTTAAATATTATTTAAAAATTAGACCGCATAACTCTCACTATAATTATTTTTTAAATATTAATTACAATTTTATTCATAATTTTAATATTTTTTTAATATTATAAAAAAAATGCGTGGCCATCTCCAACCAGTTGTTGCAGTAATTTTACAGTAATTTTACTCAAATCATAATTCTAAATTTGGAGCATTAAATGAAGTTGGATTGGAGCACCATCGCGCCAAAAATGGTATTGAAACACCATAAATAGAACATGATGCTCTAAGCCACCATCCACCTATGAGCTGAGGTGAATTGACTAAATTTTAGTCCACTTGGTCATACAATTATTTTTTGAATATTAATTATAAAAATATTTATAATTTTAATATTTTTTTAATATTCTTAAAAAACTTATGAGTTGGCCCGGGCCCCATAGTTTGCCACCCACCCACATGTCCGCAAACAAGCTATTTATTTGTGAATTATAGTGACATATCTAAAGATCAAGTGATGATTCGGGATACACTTGCCACAAAAAAACAATTAAGAAGAAAAAGGAGCTATAGCTAACAGATGGTGCAATAAACAACACAATACCAAATGATTATTATCTATCCCCTAAGAAGAACCATGCCCAACATCTGATTTTGAGATTAAAATATTTCATTTCTCACCAACAATCAATCCATCCACCAAATTCAAATTCGTTCACAAAACGGCACTAGTATTAATGCAGTAAAAATGTAATTACTTAACTAAGAGAATAGGATAAGATAAGATAAGATAGGATAGGATAGGATACCATCGGTATTGCCTCAAGTAGAGTAGTAGTCATAGTAGTTACTACTGCTGAGCACATTGCACCCTCTGAGCCCCGCCAGGCATATCATCATCATCTTCATCGTACGCTTCTTGTGCGTGCTGCTGCTGCTGCTTTCTCCTCATCTCTTCTTCCATGTTCACATCTTGCAGTGTAGTCTCCTCGCATTCCTCGATCTCAGCATTTGTTAGTTTTGGGGTTGGCTTTCGGGGAAGAACAGCCTCAATAGCTTTGATTTGATCGGGGCTCAAGCTTTCGGGGAAATCCACAGAGAATTGCACATATAGTTTTCCTTTCATGAACGGCCTCTGGTACATAGGCATTCCTTCATCATTTATAGCCTTGGATTGATCTGTTTCGTCAATGTCAAATGTCAGAAATCCCGAAAAGAAATATCCATTAATTAATAATTAAGATTGGATTGGTGACTTGTTGAACTTACCAGGCTTGATAACTTCCCCAGGCTCAGATTTGATAAGGAGCTGCCTATTGTCCAAATGCGTCAGGATGAATTGGAAGCCACATAGTGCTTCAGTAAGGCTTAAGGTGTGTACCATAAAAAGATCGTCGTCCTTTCTCTTAAACTTTGGGTGGTCTTTTTGTTGTAAAACAAAGACAATGTCACCAGTAACGGTGTCCGGCTGCAAGACATGAGGTTTAAATATGATTGAGGGAACCATGTCTATTTTAAGATTAACAAGATATGTCTACTATAGTATTGACATTTTACCGCTTCGTCAGCTTCTCCAGGGAATGTGACCTTTTGGCCATGTTTCATCCCTTTCTCCACAACAACTTCCAGTACTTTCTTCTCCTGCACAACCTTTTCGCCCTTGCATTGGGGGCACCGATCTTTGTGGTTAATAGTTTCACCAGTTCCTTTACAGTCGCTGCAAGCATGTTGCATCTGCTGGATCATAGGGCCCATTTGTCTAATAGAAACTTTCACGCCTGACCCCTGACATCCAGGACAGGTTGTTGAAGCGCCGGACTTTGACCCTTTCCTGCATACAAAACATGTCATTTTTTCTACAACGAATACAGGATAATCAGTCGCACGAGCCCACCATACCCCTTGCATTTGCGACAGATCACATTGCGAGAAAGTGATAGCTTCTTAGACATTCCATTGTATAGATCCTCTAGTGAAACCTTGAGAGGATGAATAACATCCTCTCCCCTTCTTTGTCTCCTGCCTCGGCTACTTCCACCACCTATTAAAGTATAATACAATCAATGAAGTTTTATTTTTATTTTTTTAAAAAAAATCATATTATTCAAAATAAGTTAAAAAAATGTAATTACAAACCTCCAAAAGGATTACCACCAAAAAAGGTCTCAAAAAGGTCGAATGGATTGTGGCCACCGCCACCTCCACCACCCATTCCTTCCTTCAAAGCATCTTCACCATACTGATCATAAATCTCGCGCTTCTCAGGGTCGCTCAATACTTCATAAGCTTGTGCAATTTCTTTGAACTGTAACATCCAGAAACACAATTGGTTAAAGTTGAAATGTAACCAGACAGTCCTAATTCAAAATCCCATAGACGACTCAGATTATACATTCAACTAAATCTCAGAGGGATGCAAAAGTAGAGCCCACAGCTATTTACGAAACAGTATAGCCCATTGGCCAATGAATCGTTGGAGATATTTCCTCAAATAGTACTAATATAGCACAATTGCAAATTGCACAAGTCGCAGCAGGGCACAAGGCCTGTGCCATGCCATGTTGCACAATGTAAATTATAACTATTTACATATTTTTTATATACATCTTACATACATATATATGTGCAATTAATACCAAACATTTTCAACAACCAAATTACCAAAAGAGAAAAAATCAGGAAAATGTTTATATGGAAAACTGAAACTGTGGGCACTGGCTACCTTATCTGGTAGAAGACGAGCAGAGGAGTGGGAGAGGTAAAAAGGAAATATGGAAAACATGGGAGCAGAGAGCAGTGGCTAGGAGCCAGAGAAACACAAGAAGATAAAAGAAAATATTTTCCACATCTTTATTTAATATAAAAAGAAAAACAAAATAAGCCCTAATTAATCCTAATTAACCCTAATAGATAAAAATAAGACTAAAACATGGCCTGCTGCAAAGAGGACCCAAGCATGCACCATGGCATGCCATTTACGATTGTGGTACTATTCATCCCATGGTGAGTCAAGTAGACTGTCATTCCACAATTACATTAGATGCTAAGTAAGAACTTCCACTAATTCAATTCCTCAATTTTTCTCAAATTCCAACACTTAAACCCATACCTAAGTAATTCAACTCACAGCATAAATAGGATAACAATACTTATACAATGAGTGATGTTTGGTTATATCTCCGATGAAAGGGTTTCAAATTAATCCAAATATTGTCATTGCTTGAACCAGTACAAAAAACTTTTAAGATTTTGAAATAACCTCTGGATATTTTCCCAAATCAATGTGAAGTTGGGGAATTTCGTAACATTACATTCCAAACCCTAACACCATTGATCCTTAATACATTCCAAGTTAAGAACCAAACAGTGCGCCTTGCTGATTTGATTGTGTTCACTTATGGAATTCTAATTTTCAGATACAGCAATTAGGCTAACAGTAAGATATCTACTCTATGAAGAAATCAATCGAACAGCCCCCTTTCAACAAATCCATCCTAAATCAAGCAACTAGCCTCGATCTACAGGCCATCTGACCCTATTGAAAATACAACAACACAAAGACCGAAACATACAATAATAACCCCCAATCAAAACAACTTACTTTTTCTGGATCTCCGCCTTTGTCGGGATGATTTTTGATTGCTAGTTTGCGATACGCCTTCTTCAAATCATCCTGCGAAGCGCTCTTCGACACTCCCAATAGCTCATAGTACTTGGTGTTGTCGCTTCTCCTCGGCGCTCTCCCGAACATCTTTTCCTCGCCTTTCTACTTCAAATCAACCAAATTCAGACCAGATTAACAACAGATCCAAACCCGAGGCCGATGATTGCACCAACAGATATAAATATACGAACGCAAGAGCTTACATGTGAGAAGAATCGGAATGGGAACGGGAGACGCGACCCGATGGCGAGCGCAGGAGGGCGGCGGAAGACAGTGTTGAAGGTCAAATATGTCGCTTTAATAGAGAGGAGAGATGAAAATATTGGACGGCTGAGATGCTTGGAGCAGATTGTACGCCTCCCACTCACTCCTTTTGTTTCCCTTAATTTTGGGCTTAGGTTTGTTACAGAATATAAATTTTGGATTTTCTTTTTTATATTTCCTAAAAAAAAATTAGGGTATTTTAAAACTATATGTATATTAATTAATATTAATTTACTAACTATTTTTTACAAAAAAAATCATGTATTTGTTGAATTTTTAAAAATTATCCCACTTACTCTAGTTTTGTATATCTTATTTATTTTGTTATTTTAATTTTAATTAGACTAGTCGATTATTTTCATTTTAATTTAAAACTATTTATATTATAGTATAATTTTTTTTTACTAATACATTATTAATTATTTATTAATTATAACATTCATAAATTTGCGTGTCTTTTGTAAACGCGACAAGATATTAGGACGAAATGAGTACAATAAATTATGTAAAATCATTAAAATTCTTTTTAAGAGTTTTGAATAATTAAATAAAAGTTTATAATTGTAATTATTAAAAAATATATTAGAGTGTGTTTTTATTGTGAAAAATATTTAAATTATATATATTGTTGAGATATATTTCAATATATTGTGTTTTTGAATGAAATTTTTTTTAATATTAAATATAAAAAATAATATTTCGTTTTAAATTATTTAGTTTTGGTGAATAGATATATGTTATATATAGTGTATAAAAATATGTATATAATTGAAAATCATAATAAAAAAAAAAAATTATTGGTGAATATAGCCTTATATGGATTATTAAATTTTGATATAATAAATTTTTTGTTATTAAATTTTACTCATTCAGTTCTTATTATTGTATAAGGGCTACTGTAGATACAAAAATTTATAAGAAATATGATTAGTAAATAATTAAAAATAAATTATCAAAATTAGTTATAATATAATATAAATAATTATATGATTAAGATTTAGTCTGTGATTAAAATATATAATTTTTGTTTAGAAAAATAAAGTGATATAGTATGTGGGATGAATATAAATAAAAAGTGTGAGAGGAGGTAATATATTTCCGTAAGATTTGGGTTTTGATTTTTTACGATTTTTTTTTTTTTGAGTTGTTTTATATATTTTCTAAATTTTAGGATATCTTCTAATGTATTTTATTATAATAGTTGTAAATTATTAATATTACTTTACTTTATAAGTTTCTTATACAAATAAATATTATGTATATTAATTGAATTCTTAAAATTATAATTAATTGTCTAAAATAATTAAAGTTACTTTTTTGAAAATTTTGGAAAAAAAAAATAATGTACAATTGGATTTAAATTTGCATCTCATTTCTCACATTTAAATTCATGCTTCAATCAAAATGATAAGACACACTCATTTTTTAAGAACGTTTTATATTAACTTCGTACTTTTTTTGCTCATATTTTATCGATTTTCAACCCCCCATTCGATTATGTTATTTTTTGCGTAAGAGAAAAACGCCCCCAGCAAGCATTCGATTGAAATTTTCAATGTCCTTTTGATAGTTCTAATATTTTGGGTGTTTATTGTGTTGTTGTCAAGTCTTGTGGGAGAATCTTACATTTCCCACGTTTAATTGAGGATTTTGATGTCCTTTTAGTGGTTCTAATTTTGTTGGATGTTTATGGTGTTCTTGCAAAGGATCATGCAAGAATTCAACGTTTCTAGTGAATGTTTGATTGAGGAATTTGAATTTTTTTTTTTTTTTTCGTGGTTCTAATTTTATAGGTCGTTTTCCGTGTTGTTGTTAGGGCTCGCATGAGAGAGAAACGTCTTCTAGAAGCATTCGATCGAGGACCTCGATGTCGTTTTTTTGTTCTAATTTTACTAGTTGTTTCTCGTGCTATTTTCAAGGATCACAACGATTCCAACGGAGGATAATAATCCTACAATATTTTGCGAAACACCTAATCCACCAACATTCAATTGAAAACGGTAATTAGAACTTAAGTATGATAAATCATCTTCACTATTATCTAAATATAATATATTTGAGGTAGGTGTGGGTCCCGAAATTTCAAAGTTTTTTTTTTTCTCTCTTTTTTGCTTTTTTAATAATTTTAAATTAATTTAATATTTTTTTAAAATTTACATTTAAATTCATAATTAATTATAGTTATAATTATTTGTACTAATTGATCATTATCAATACATTTTAATTAATTATTTTGTATTAATTACATAATGCTAAATTAGGTATAAATAAAACTTATTATTGTACAATATATTCTACAAAAAATTTAGTATAAAAAACTATAATATCTAACATTTATATATTTAAGAAAAATTATAATAAGACATTTATAAAATTAATAAATTGTGCATGTATTATTATACTCATTTCCTTTTATCCCATTCTAAGGGTCTGTTTGGTTTGAAGAATTTGGAGGGGAAGAGAGAGCAGGGAATGAGAAAAATTACAATTATTTGGTTTTGTTCAAATTTTTTTTAAAACCTTTGTTGTTTCCCTCAAAATTGGAAGAATTTGAAGATGAGGGAAAGATGCCTATATTTTTATTTTATAAAATTACTATTATATCTTTAATATTATATATTACATTATTTGTATTTAATTATACATAAATTATATTATACGTATTTTATAATTAATAATTAGTTATAATATTTTTAAAATTTATAATGTAATTAAATTATAAAACACATATAAATTAAATTAATATTATTTTAATTATTTAATTAAACCTTAGGCTTTAATTATTAAAATAAATTTATATTTATTATATTTATGTAACACTATAAAAAAATATTTATCTTGTAAAATATTCTAAATACATAAAATTTATGTTAGAATGATTATTTTGTTATTAACTGATTCAATTTTTTCTTATATATAATTTTATTTTTATTTATTTTTTATTTACATGATATAAATATATATATACTTATTTTAAGATGTCATTCTTATATCAAAATTGATGTTTTATTAATAAATTAATAAAATTTTATTAAATACTTTTATTTTTATTTATTTATACAATATAAGGATAAAACAATAAAATTATTATATTTTTTCTTCCCTTCCTTATTCAACCAAACACAAAAATATCATTTTCCTTCACCTCTTCACCTCCCATCTTTTCATTTTCATATGAACCAAACACACTGTTACAATTTTAATATTCTCTCTCCTCCCTCTGTGGCCTCCCATCTCTTCCATTAAAATCTCTCTCCTCCTCTGCCTTCATTTGAATTAAACAAGACCCTAAGGTCTCATTTACTTTTTGCCGATTGATTTTGCATATTAATTATTATATCAAAACGTAAGTACAAATTAAGAAAAAATTGCAAAAATACTTCTATTAGTGTTTTATATTACCAATAGAATGACATTTGTATACAAAAAATATATAAATATAAGAATATTTTTAATATTAAGTATAATGACGAAAAAAAATCAATGTAACCCTTAAGACAGACGGAGAGAGTATTAAAATTAATTTGCTAACTTTTACTACCTCTGTCTCACAACAAGACAATAGTTTTTTTTTTTTTTTTCATATAAATTTTTTAATATTGTATTATATTATATTAGTTTATAGTTAAAAATAAAATAAAAATGTATTATGAAATGGTACCTTTATTTTGGAAAATAGTACATTCTTATGGGACGAATGAAGTATTATTTATTTATTTATATCAAATCAGTAGAATTCATATTAAAATGTTTTTTTTTTAATTTTTTAATAAAAAAATATATTAATCTTTCATAAATAAATATATCATACTTTATAAAGCAATAATCAACACAATTTAAGAGATATTTTGTAACAATGATGGAAAAATTATGGTTATATTATAAAAATATGCATAAATTCTTAATTTTATCATAAATTCCATACATTAATTTGTAATTTATGTATGTTTGTGAGCTTATAAAATGTCATCTCCACATCATATTTTTTTTCATCAACAAATATAAATCTTTTATCTCAATCACACTCCTATGTATCTTTCCCATAGGTTTTTCTGATGAGTAAATTTTTTTTGGTGGTTACCATTCCGACATTTAATTTATGTATATTGGTGAGCTTATAAAATGTCATTTCCACATCTCATTTTTTCTCATCAACCAATATAAATCTTTTCTCTCAATCACTCTCTCTATGTATCTTTTCGATAGTTTTTTCTAGTGATTTTTTTTACGATAACATGACTCTCCTCCGTGTTCAAGACTCCCGACACAATTCGTTTTTTCTCAATTTAGTTCGTCGGAATTCCGAAATATTAGAGTTTCACCAAATATGAAAATGAATATCTTTGTATACACCATAAACTATGGGTATTATTAGAATGTCTTCATTTTATAGGTCGAAGTTTTATCCTCGACTCAAATATATAATATTTAGATAATATAGCACATTCTTTAACTTTTGATCTCATTTAAACCCGCTAATCAAACCCAAATCAATGATAAATATATCATTAATTTATTTTTATTCATTCATATCAATTATACTCACTTATCAATCCATTTCGAGAAATTTTTAATTTAATTTATATAATTAAATACTTTTGAATAATTTTAGTCTGGCTTGTCAACACAAATTGCTTGCTATGTTTAACAATTCTAGTAAACTATCGTTTTTATTATTAACATGTATATATATATATATAAAAGAATATACTGAGAATATTGTACAAATAATATCAAATATTTGTATTTATAGTAACTACACCAAAGTAACCCTACTATAAATACAAATATCTTTTACTATATTTACAATATTCTCAGCATATTCTTATATATATATATATATATACACACACACGCGTTAATATTGATGACCATATATAGGCTCTATTTATAAACTCATGAATTTTTTAAATACCATTTCATTAAATTTATCAGTGCCTGAGCTTCGAATTAGCTAATTAAGGAATATACTAGTAGTCTCGTAATGGATGGTCTGGTAACGTAGGAGTTGAATTTGTAATCGTGAGGTCATAAATTCAAACCCCGACGCCTCAAGTCACCTGCCACACATGGTTCGGCCGGAGGTTTACCTAGCGCGCACTTTCGGCAGCGGCTGCGGATTCTCACTTATAAAGGAAAACATAAAAATTAAGGACTATAATACTAAAAATAGTTTAAACATTTCTTTTAATAAATAATTTTAAATTGTAAATATTTCTTTTAGTACTAGAGATATCAAGGGTATGTTTGTTGTATTTTGATATTTTTAATATAAAATATTGAAGATAGTGTAGATAATATAAAAAGAAAAAATATATATAATACATTAAGGGTGTGTTTGTTTGGGGATTGGATTTTAAATACATTATTCATCCTATTTTCTTTCCCAAAAAATATCAAATCAAACACATATTTTTCATTTTTTATATTATACTAAAAATCAATTTTACATTCCAAAACATCACGTCAACACCTATTATACAACTATTCAAATTCAAAATTTTTACTATTCAAATCCCAACTCAAAATCCAAAGCCCCAACCAAACACACCCTAAACTTTCTAACTTTCTTTTAGAAAATGCGTTAGAAAATTTTTGTTAAAAGAAAGCAGCCATGCTTTTTTACCTGGGCACACTCTTTTATTAACAATTCCATCGCCACGATTGGTCAACCCTACATGTTCCGGTCAAAATTTGCCAAAAATAAAACAAATTATCAAATTATTATTTATCCTCTTTAAGAAGGATCTCAATAAAAGCACATAAAAAAAAAATAATAACAATAATAATTTCAATACACTTCAAATTTCGAAGCTCTTAAAATCCAAACTAAAATTTCAAATTCCAACACAAACCAAACCAACCCATACAGTTAAAATAACTAAAAATAAAACATCAAAATTTAGCAATAAAAATTGTAAATTAACAAGCAAATATTTTCTCTACTTGAATTTATTTTTATATCTTACTATTATTCTCCTTTTATGAGCACAATCACAAATTTAATCTCAATGATTCACTGATCCAAATTTTTTATAATAAGTTGTTTATATAATATAATTTTAATAATTTATAAACTGGGCAACGCACGGGTCTATCGTACTAGTATTTTATAACAGAATGTCCAATTATAATTGAGAAATCAAAACTATGGGAGCAACCAGCTATGCAAGGCAAGCAGAGACTGACCTAATCTTGTGGATATATGGATGATATCTGGGAACTCAACTGCCATTGCCAACAATGGTTGAACAAAGCTGAGAGGCTAATTTAACAACTCCCCACATCGATGCGTCATTCTGCACCACAAACCAACACACAAATACAGATTTACGACAACTAAATACAATTATACAAAAGATCGCACATACGAACTAATATTTCAGAAATGTATGAAAAATGTTGTTTCATGAATGGATTGTGAATCATTTTTTACTTAGAGAGCAGAAAGAAAAGGCAAAGATTTTGAAGCTTTATTCTTACCATATACACAACATCGAAAGCATTCCTATAGCTATCACTGGAACTGTCAATGTTGTCATTTCTGCAACCAAAAAAAAACACTTCATAAATCAGACAACTGAAAATTATAAAAATGTGTAGTTCTATTCTTTATCATCAGCTACTGGTAATGGGGAAAACCATAAAGAAGCCAATTGTGAAAACAGAAAACAGGTGGGATCACCAAGCAAGATGCTTTCACAGTATTACAAGATCTGCCGATCGTTAAAAGCATGAAGATTTTGCAATGTCATAAGGCCTACCTAAGTTCTACATCAATATGTAGCCATGCTGCAGGTTCATACATTCAGGACAGCAGATAATCCATATTTGTCAAATAAATCCTAGCTATTGTGTTCTCTGGTAAGTTTAGCACAATATTAGCATAAAAAAAAGTCAACAACAACAATACACAATTTTCAGTTAATTTAATCCCACAATTTCATTAAGATAAACTAATTAACACTTAGCCTAGTCTGTCAGCTTGTTTTTCGACCCAATTCAATAGCCCAGAAAATCGTAGGATCAAAATTACTAAAAGAAGCATCTAATATTGCAATCAACTTTAAATTAGAAATACACAATTGTGAGATTGAGGGTATTGTTTTGCCACACAAAATTATTTTGATAAGAATTGCGGATCTCACTTATTTATACAAATGGGTACACTATAACTCACAGGAAAGCAACCGATATTCTTGTATCGTAGATCAAGCCATCAGACATTCCCAGGTCTCCAATGTGATCACCGAGTAGTAGTACATTAGTTCTCGATTTAACAGAGGACATGTCATCAATCAATGCATCAGCATCACCCAACTGATCATCCATTGGTCCAGCCATGTCAATTGCATGCTCGTTCTTATTCAATACATGGATTGTCTTCCCTGCAATAGACCAACCAAAATATTGCATGAATATTTTGCAGCTATAGCAAGGAATGATGACAAGAAAAGAACGACCAAACGAGAAACATTAAATCTGCACATAATCAGGGGACTCAAATAAAACAAATGCACATTTGAAATCAAATGTAGCCCTAAAAAATATCTCTTCAAACTTTTCTTTCCCGCAACTACCAAATTAAGTAATTCAGATTCAGCTAGGGCTGGAGCCTGGATGCATCTGCAGAGTTTGATTCCTGCTCAAGAGGAAGGCCTGACAAGAGATGTTACATGACACAATAATGAGAGCAGGGATCGTGACCACACATTGGTATTAGCACTTCCCTTACCAAATTACCCAAAGATCAAAACCTTAATTTAAACATCCTCGCAGAACGCCAGTGTTTGTCAGTGTGTGTATGCGCAGGCACACCAGAGAGACAGACAGAATCACATTTAAGAAGGTGGATGATCAGAAAGAAATGACAAAAAACTGATGCTTCGTAACTAAAAAGGATCAAGAAGAATGCATATGATAAAAAGTTTACAAAAAGCCTCATAGAAGGAAAGGAATACCTTTAAATGATACAAGGCTACCGCTGTCATCAAACTCCATTCTGTTGGATACAATTCTGACATTCTTAAAGGATTGATGAAGTTTCTGCCTCAGAACCTTGTAAAGGAAGAAAGGAAGTTGTAGATAAATAAGTACCCATCTTCATCAACTTTTCAAGAACTACATGAAAAAAAAAAAAAAAAAAAAAAAAAAAAAAACACTATAATGATTTAAGAAAAGTAATCAGAATATGGAAAAAACTAACCTCTTCGATAATATCTGCAAGGCCAGCAGAAAATATGAGGATGGGAACATTATTCTTCTGTGGCAAGTAAACTAGAGATCAGAGTTGAAGTGTCAAACAAGAATCTGTATACTACTGCTTGGTGATTAGAGAGGGTCTCTGCATAGATTACTTAATATGGCATGCCAGATTTCTCTCTTTTACTCAAACGTTATTAAACCCCAAAACTACCATTAACTTTGTTATCTGATCTGTTGGAAAACTTGATGCTCCAAAAAACTAATTCTAATTACCTCTAGCAATTCAAAAAGTTCAATAACACCCTCTCTGAATGCAATCCTTGATTTGGTCACAGAGCTCTTTATAGCATCATAGTTGAGTCCTCCCTCCATAAGAAGACCATGTGTTTTCCCCCACCTGCTTTTATTGTGTCAACCACTTTGACCATCTCAAAGCCTTTTTATTAATTTCAGGAATTCCCAAGCCTTTGATGGAAAATATTTTCATAAACCAAACCCAGAGAAACTTAAGTGACACATTTAATATGTTCACTACACAAGCTAATAGGTTTTAGGGTGAACTGCAACTTGCCACTGTAAACGCAATTTTATTTTTTTTGGCACCCACAGAAAAATCTCTGAATAAACACTATATCAGTTTTCTAAAAAACAAAAATCCTTTTGGGAGGTACATTATGATATTCCAAACAAGAAAATTTGAGAAGTTTCTAAGCAGAAGTTCTTTTCACATTTCATGTCTTAAAAAACCAATTCGTAATTTACCATATATTTCGGAATCTATCTTAGGTAGTCAAATCACATACCATTCTTCCATAAGTTTGGCTTTCTCATCAAGTGGAATTGTTGGGTCTATTTCTAATGGATGATAATATTCATATAATTCCTGCCTCTTGAGATCATACTCAGGATTCCCTTGTTGCAAAAGGCCATGGCTACCTATATTTGAGTTGTAACAAAAATAATGAGCTACGAGCTAACAACTTGAAAAGTCTTTGCAGATGGGACAGCAGTCAACATTACCACAATGAATCAACATGTAACTTTGTAAGAAGATATTTATCAAGATATAGAAACAGAGCAACTTACTATGCCCTCGCTGACCATCAACCCAATACTTTGTTAGTGTAGCATCAAAATCTGCAATAACCTGTTTTTTTCATTTCTTTTCAGAACGAAGTAGATGCAATAATCTAAAGACAAATTGAAAGTAACAGACATTTTAATTGCATGCCAAAGAACAATAACATGATGGGCTATCAGCCAGCCATAAAGTGTGACCTGAAACAGATTGGTTCAAATTTTAAAAATTTAAATTCCCAGTTACTGTCATGCTCTCCACAAACCCCCACCCTCCTGGGTGGAAACTATTTAATACTTCCTTCCCTGTTGGGAAGCAGCAGCCTTAAATGAACTCTATCAGAACAGAATCAATACTTATCATTCTCAGATCACGGAGGCCACTTGAGCCCAGCAAAAATTCCTGCAAAGATGAGGATTATGATTCTACATTGTTGCATGCAATCAGACACCTTCTATAGGCTTGTCTGATGATGATTGGGACTGGAGGTCCAGTAAATTAGTGAGATTTTCTTGGTGCAAATGCAAATACGGTCTGGTTAAGGTATCCTGAGATTCATGTTCCTTCTCCATTGCAAATTTGCAATACAATTTGGGGGTGTAAACACATATCCTTCCAATCTGCAAATTTCTTCGGACCAGTAAAAACAAGATTTGTAACTTCTCCACTATGCTGTATCAGGTAGGTTCAATTATCAGCAACTGAATTTAAATACCTTCAGTTTAAACAACACTGAAAGGGATGGCATTCTGATATCAGAATACCTCTCAAATTTTTCCTTGTCGAAAAAAAAAACTTTTCAAAATGCAGGTTGTTAAGGCAAGGTTTCTTCTATCAATCAAACAACTAGGATGTACGCCATTACAATGCACGAAGTATTTTGTGCACAAATCATCATCTAATCGAAGAAGCATATTATCATGACAATCAGGGAAGAAGAACAATTACAAATAATCAAATAATTGAAAGGGACCAGAAAGCACCTGAAGTTTCAAAGGACCGTCTTTCCGAATGGAGGATATCTTCTTCTGAAGCGATTGAGGGTCGCCCACCATTACTTCAGCACCATCAAACACAACGTGCTCCATTGTTTCACCTTGATAGTTTCTGACACCGCAATAGCTTCTGCAGCACAATATATAATATATATATCATGTTAAACTGTAGAATGGCAGGATTTAAGGCAGAATTGAGGCAAAAATCTCTGATCTATACCTGAAAGGAAAGGAGACGAAATCAGGGAGATGATTGGGAAAGGCAGCCCAAGAGCAGAGAGGGAGAGAGTGGGGGAGAAAGGCGTTGCGCATCCAGTAACTCATGAGATGAGAGTTACTTCTAAAATGAATACTAAGCATCTAGTATTATTCTTGATTACCTTTTTTATCAATCCGTATCATATTTATATTAATATTCATTCAAATTACTTTTTATCACCGTTATAGCATTATTATCTGCACCTATTATTTTTACAATATTAAAAAATTCATAGTAATTATTAATTTTTTTTTTCTATTTTTATTATTTAATAATATATAAATAATATCTATTGTATAATATTATATTTAAATTTTAAAATATTAATTTATATAAATTGTAAAAATATTATACTCCCTCCAAAAGAATTGTCATTTATTTTCTGGACGTAGATTTTTGAATATTAGTATTATATTAATTAGTAATAAAAAAAAAAACAAATAAATAAAAATATCTTATTAGTATCATTAATATAAAAATAATATAAGAGCATCCGTTGCTGTTATTCTCTCCCCTTCATTATCTTTCTCGTCCAGGTCATATTTATCTCAATATTCAAATTATTTTCTTTTATCATTCACCTTCAATACATTACCTTTACTATTTTATATAACTCACAATAATTTATTTGTTTCTATATATTTTTATTACATAATATATATACAAATTATTTATTTATTTATACATATTTCTATATATTTTATTGTCTAATAATATTTTTGTATAATAGTATATTTTAATTTTAAATATTAATTTATATAAATTTTAATATATTAAAGTATATAATTTATTATTTTAAAATTTGAAATTATTCGAAATAAATCAATATATATATTTATAGATAATTTATGTTAAATTTGAATTTAAAAATTTAAAATTTCAAAAGAATTGAATAATATATAACTATTTTTTTAAAATTTTTGTTAGAGGTAACCAGTTCTCGATAAATGTAATAATATTTCCTTGTTAAAGATAATGTGAAAGGTAATTAATTTTTATAGTAAAATCTATAAAGTCAATAATAAAGGTAATAAAAGAGGTGATTATAAATGATGCTCTATGGTAATTAATAATATTAACATAGATTATATAGACAGTACAGTTACTAAATTAGAAAATAGAAATATTGTATTTTTTATTTTGGCTTTTGTTTTTATTTTTTACTTTTGTTTAATTTTTAAATCAATTTATACTTCTATAATTTGAAAGAAGTTAAGCTGGGGTATTATTCTTTTAAATTTGCATTGGAGTTTGGGGATTGTGTTTGTTAACCTCCGTCCCAAATATCATGTTCACGTTGCCGTTTCTATCAGACCCACGTACCATGTTATTTTCCTTTTTTGGAAAATGATTACACACTTTAATCTCATTTTAAATTTTATTTTTTTTAATTTTAATTAAACTAATTAGTTATCTTAATCTTAATTTATAATTATTTATATTATAGGATAATTATTTTCATTAATACATTCTTAATTATCTACTAATTACACCCCTCCTAAAATACCATATCTACGGTGTAGCAGGCACAGTATCTGGGACGAAGGGAGTAGAATTTTGGAAGAGAGTTTTGGAAATTTGTGACTGTGTGCTTATAACTATTTTTTTTTTCAAACTCAATTCACAATATATGTATATACTTCATTCGTCCCATCGGAATTGAACTATTTGATTAGAGACACCGTATTTAAGGTAAGGATATTTAATTAGTTAATAATAATTAGTTAGTATATTACTCCCTCCGTCCACAAACTAACGTCCTACTTTCCTATTTGGAATGTCCAACAATTATTGTCCTATTTCTATTTTTATACACAAAATTTACTCTTTTATCTTTACTTTATTTACTCTTTCATTTTCTATACACAAGATTAAGGGCAAATTTGTTATTTTATAACAAAAATCTTAATTGCCTAAAAATACATGTAAATATCAAATAGGACATTAGAAAATGGATGGAGGGTGTATTATATTATTTTTTATATAATTAATAATATTTATATTTTTAAAGTAAATTTAATATATATATGATTAAAAAAATTAAAAAATATATATAAATATTGAAAAATTATATAGCAATTAAAAAATATATGCAAACAAAAATGGAAATAATGTCAATTGTGGTGAAATGGAGGGAGTATATAATATTATATTTTATTATCTAAACAAAAAGTCATCATTTAGTATAAAAATATTAATTTTTATATTTTTTATACAATTTTTTATATTTCACATAAAAAAAAATATATATTTCAAACTAAAACACTAAAAGTTATTTATTTATTTATTTTTGTTTTAATAAGTTTAGAAAAATTTTGATATAATAATACCAACTCACCGAATTTCAATATGCAGTTTTAACTTCAAAATTATAATTATATTTTTACCTTAAAAAGATTATTCTCTAAATATTTTATTTTATATTTTTTTAAATAACTTTTTATATTTATAATTTACAGAACTTTTATTACTTTCTCTATAAAAATAAAAAAATATACTCCTTTCGTCCGGCTAAAGGGTCTCATTTATCTTTTGCGTCATTGTATTTAACATTAAAAATATTATCATATTTGCATAATTTTTTGTACAATTTTTTCTTTTTTAGTATTACAAGACACTAATAGAAGTATTTTTTTAATTTTTCTTTATTTGGTCTATGTTTTAATATAATAATTAATATTCAAATATCAACACGCAAAAAGAAAATGAGATCCTTAGAACCGGACGAAGGTAGTAATAGATTCAATCGGGCAGTGTCAACTTGGCCCGAAATAATTTTGGGCTTGATTTGTGAGCCTAGATCCGATTTTTTCGAACCGTGCTTATTTTTGCCACCTCTAAGTAAATTTAGCAATATTTCCAAAATGGACAAACCATTTTATGCATATTGTGATGGAAAAACACAGCTATCTATTTTTACAAAATTGATGTGCTCTAAGGCGAATCATAATATCTCGGAGTCAACATATAATATATGTAAGTTACTTAAACGAACACTTCCTGAGGGTTATCGATTTCTATGTATATAAAAAGTTAACGAAAAATATGAAGTTTCTTACCATTAAATAGACCGTTGTCCATATGGAAGTATGCTATTTTGGAAAAATGATGCGGCTTTAAAAAAAGTGCAGGTTTTGTGGTGAGTCATGCACGCTGGAAACATGGTAGTTGGCGGAAGAATATTGTTGCATCACAAATGACATATCTTCCACTGAAAGAAAGATTGAAAAACTTGCATGAGTTTGTTGAAACAAAAAAAAAAAAAAAAAAAAGCAATGACGTGGTAAAGTCATCACCATAGCAAGGTTGGTTGACGAGCCATCCATCTGATGCAGAGACGTTGAAACATTTTGATCGCAGATTGTTCAATTAGGATTTTGCACAAATAGTTTTGCACCTTATGGAGCATATAGGTAAATTGTTCATGTTGGCCAATAATTCTTACCTCATATAATTTTCCACTAGGGACATGTATAAGGAAGGAGTATATGTTCTTATCCACGATTATTTTAGAACTGCATAATCTAAAAAAGTTGATTGATGTATACCTACAATTATTGATGAAAGAGTTGTTGCATTTGCGAACATATGAATATGTTGTCTACGGTACGTATAGTAAACACAAGTTTCAGATGTGTGCTATACTCTTATGAATGATAGTCGACCTATCTTTCTATTGAATGATTTTTAGATGGAGCATGGCAGGAATATATTAGGAATATATTAGGTTGTCTGGTGTGCATGAATGACAATTTAACTTTTTACTTAACTCATTAGAAAAAGTTATGATATTTTGATTGTATTGTATCTTATCACAAAATTATTACGTAGATCGGTCACCTTTATCGTCAAATCAGCAATTTGACGGTTTATCTCAGTAACAATCTAGTTATCGATGGCTGGGGGACATCGGAGGAGCATTGTCCAGGAGCGTTGCGAGACTTCAGATACCAACTGATGCTTTCATCAGTCGCAATAAAATAGATAAAGACATATTCATGTTTTATTTCAATCTTCCTCTCCAAAATATAGGAGGATAGATTTATATAAGTCAAATAAATGCGCTAAGCTCAATTGTTATAAGTCCAATAATAAATAACTAAGAAAATAATAATAAATAAATAAATAAGAACTAAGAAAAGTGATTAAATATTTGGCTCAATGTGTGAATAAATCTTATTTGTCCATAAACGTTATTGTGCACTCGTCTCCATCACATTTTTTTTTTGACATGTAATTTCTCTTGTTGGACGTAGTTTGTAGGTTCAGCTGGAAGTTTATCCTGGGCGCATTTTCGGATAGGAGCTGCGAATTTTCACGTCATAGAAAAAATGATAATTTATTTCTAATCAACTAAAACATCACAAAAGAATGGTATAAACTTTATATTTGAGTGACTAATTCTAAAACATCATAAAAGAATAGTATAAATTTTATATTTGAGTGACTAATTCTGTAATGACTAAATGATATGATATGATAGATTAAGTAAATTTTAGCTAAATGCTTCCACTTACTGAGTTTAATTGAATAAGTTAAATATAATTTCATATAATAAATTAATTAATTTATGCAAGTTAATAGAAACATTCAAAAATTTAATTTATTTTCATTACATGTACCTTTTTTCTTATTTCATATTCATATGTTATTTGTAAATGTAGGATTAGCATTGAGCTTCATAACTTAAAAAAAATTTCTCATTTCAACAGACTCATATTTTTTAAATTTTTTAAAATACATCTGCTATATATCACAATCAACTAATATAATATTATATCCATTAAAACTTGTCCATTCTTTTATATGTAAAAATAAATTATTTATTTTCACGAAATTACATCTAAATTAAAATTACTATTCAAACAAAAAGCCAAAACCAAACATTAGGGTCTGTTTCTTTAGCAATTTTTTTTTCAAATTTTACTATTTCAACTCTGCATTTTTCGGAAAAAATACACTTTTTCCTCTCACAAAACATTTCATCAAACATGATAGTAATACCAAACTCAAACTAATTTTTTCCAAACTCAATCAAAAGAAACACACCCAAATCTTATACACAATAAAGGTAAAGATGAAAAAACGAGGGAAAAGGAAAAGGAAAAGGAAATTGAATGAAATGCAGCAGTGCAGGTAGTAAGTAGTAAGTAAATACAAGTCTTATACACATGATCTATCTCCACCAACCATGTTATCTTCTGTTATGAGTTTAAATTGCACACATGCAATGCAAATCAGGCAAAGAATCAACTTCTGGTTCATGTTATATCTATCTCCAAATCATGCGCTGTGGCTACGATAAATCATATCCATCCGTGTATAATTTTTACAACCTCGCTTTTCCTGTCCACAGACTAGCAGGGAAGATACTTTTCTAGTCTCGCAGTGAAGCTCGTGGCACGGCTGGTAGACCTAGTTCATCGTCTGCCTGTCAAAAGCACAATTGTTGGTTGCATCATTGTCATATGCGAGAATATGAAACATTGCATGATGTTCATTTGTTTGTTTATGGTAGTACGAAGAATGTAAGAAAAACACCAAGCTTGGCTATAAACCAAATGATTTGATATTCCAAGACAATACTGGAGTTCTATGTAAAAGGGAAACAAAATGATTATATATCTCACCTGCACATTTGTTCTGCCTGCCGGGTTTGGAGCATTCCCAGTTGGAGCTGATGGCAAGTTAAGTTCGGATTCCAGATCAGATTCCTTATCAGGCTGTAGGTAAGAAGGGACTCCGTCACCCTCGGTTTCAAACCCCATGTCTGCTTCCAGAGCATCAAGCTCTGAACAACACAACCAACAATCATAAGCATGTGGAACAGATAAAGAACCATAAGGAAAATAATCCAAACAATCAACAAAGGGGAAATAAAAGAGAGTTTTAGTTTTGGCATAAGCATTTTCACGGTCACCATAAGCAATCACCATAAGCAATCACCGCACAGAGGAAAATAACCCATATAATCATCTATACGCATTTCACTGTCACCGAGTAAAATATTTGGTAACTTAAGTAAGAGATGAGATGGATTTCAGAACTTCTGCTCCCATGCAAGATGCTGAAATATATTTGTGAATATGTAAAATGATACATCTTAACATATCCAATTAAAGTTTTAGGTGATGCAGCCATTTAATATAAAGGGAGGTCACTTGGTTCAAATCTCTAAGGACACCATGATAAGGCTGAGGTATTGGTGAAATAAAATAAAAAAATAATTATTAAATAGTATCTCCCCATTATCATAAACTTTTTAGGTAATGTGATTATTTAACATGAGGCAACTTAAAAAAGATCTCGTGTCAACAAAGTTTCAAATTGAGTGTTCAGAATGGTTACCGCCCAATAGCTCATCCTCATCAATGTCATCGGGTACATTATAGCTTCTACCAAGAGATTCTTGGATCTCGTTGCTCACATCCATCAGGTCCATCATCTCATCTTGTAAATTCTATTAACAATCCGAAGATCAACATACAATAAGTATGTAAACAAAAATCTTTCACTATGAAAAATAGGAAAAAAGAGAAACAGAGAGAATAAATGGAAAGATATTGGGAGTGAGATGCAAACATCTATGTCTTGAATTTTCACTGTCTTCATCATTCCTTTCAGCTCTTTGTTTGCAGACTTCAAGGCTGTCATCTGGAAGGTATGAAGCAGCATTAGCAACAGAGGTACCCAAACCATAAGCCATAAATGATCCAACAAAGCATCTATATCCATCTTTCATTTGACACATAACGCAACAAGGAAGCATAAAAGATAATCATAATAACAAAATGATGGCCATGTTCAGAAAAATGTACTTCTGCATAGAACATGGTGGTCCTCCAACATCATGAACTGCTATTTGGAAAAGACACTTTAAAGTGAATTTCATGAAACTGTGAACAATGCTCAGACAATAATGAAAGCTCTCGCCAATCATGCCAGAATTTTAAATGTAAGTCAACTCAAAAAGACTAAGGCAAATCCCTGGTAGTTATAAAAACGTCACGCACATCAAATGTTCATGTAAGAAGCAGTCCATAATGCATTGCATCAAATCAAAAGACAAACTTTTCAGCAATCCTTGTTTGGATGTATTTTTTATAGGTTAAATGATTTTCAATATGCTGAATCCCCTGAACATAAAATTTACAAACAGTAAAGATAAACACACACACACACATATATATAAACAATTCAATAGGTATTTCACCATACTAGCTGCCCAAATTTAGTCATACTAAAAGGAAAAAACCCAACCTCACCATAAGACTAAGCATCAATGATGCATTCACCAACCAAATCACTATTCATCTTAAGGATACTTTGTTTCAATTTGAATTGGGAATTAGTTCACCTTATAAATATTTTATTATTAATAAAGGGAAAGAATGTAGGTCACAAGAGTAGAACATACTGTTTGTTGGGCATCCTTTATTCCCTCAGCAGCGAAGGCTACTTGATCCAGGTTGAATGTCTGATTGTAAAGCATATCGCGCTGACCTTCATACCTAGACAGATGAGTGCTAAATATAAGAACTGGGTTGTGCGAAGAAATAGTGGCAGATTCAGTTTAACATTATTCTACTAATTCATATAAGTAATAGGCATTGATAGACTGTAGTCCATAAGTCAGATGGTTAATACAAACACAATAAGATATTAAAAGAATATGTCCAATAACCCACAGAAATTTCTTACTGAGTCTGCGTGGAATTCAAAACAGAATTGCATATAATCTGATGGGATTTTTAGAAGAAGGCTTTGTTTAGATACACATTTGAGAGAGAAAATAATGGAGAATTTATGTGCAAATAGTGAAGTAGTATGCATTTTTTAGCGGTCTTTTGTATTTAGTTTACAAATATGTATGTTGTTAAAATATATACATACATATATATATCAGAACTGTTAGATGGTGTTAATATTAGTATTTGAGCTAAGCCCACTGGGCCTCTTATATAAATATATATGTGCATACTACCCTAGAATCAGTTGAATCAATTGAGAGAAATCTACATAGTATTAGAGCTGTACTAAATAAGTGCAGGGATGTTTACTATGTCTTTTCATTTTCATTTTCTCTCCAAAAACATCATGTTCAACGGCCATTTTTCATTTAAAACTTTACATCAAACAACTATTTTACCTCAAAAACATCAAAACCAAGAACACCAAAACACAAGCAAGCAAACACACCATTAATAATCTCAAACTTCCAAAGGAAAAAATTGACAGCCAAAACAAATTGCAATAAACATATTATACAATGCTTTGTCTTTTAGGACATACTTTAGGACCTAAGGAAAAATACATAACAAATTTTATTAATGAGAAAATACACAAGTGGGTGACAACAAACTTCTTAAAAGAACTGAATCAAACAAACTTAATAGAGGCTGCGAATAGAAGGAACCCTAGAGAAATCAATATTCGTTTTACGGTTGTTTTCAATTTAATTCCCACTATTACATTTTCAAGGCAATGTTTGGGGATGAAAGTTGAAATGTTTACAAAAATACATTTACCTGAATCTTGCAGCTTAACTATTGAATCGCCAGCAAAGCACTCTCTAAAGCTTGATATATATATATATTTTATTATTATTATTATTATTATGCATTTACATTGCATCATGTAGGAAAAGCAGTTTATGTACAGTATTAAGTTCATTACAGTTTGTAAGGGCAGGAGGGGGGATATGCTTTTCAATTATTTTCCTTCATCACCTTCAAATTTGTTTTGGAATTAAAAATGCATACAATAACTTCTTATCGCTGTGTGAGTTTTTGGAAGATAGAGAACCAAAGACAAGCACTTAACAAGAAAATGAATTTCTAGATGCAGGCAGATAAATTCAAGTGCATTGATATGTCCTCGAATCACAAAGAATAGCAGACCTCGCATTTCAATCTCGTACAAAATGAGAAGTACCAAAGCAATCATAATATTAGTAAATACGAGTAAAAGCTATGGTGTGTTACTGCTGCATCTAGTATAGAGTAAATTAACTCACATTCTTTTCTGCTTAAGAACCCTCATGGCTCTAGCTTTGACAGCTTCTTGAGCTGGGCCCGGTCTAGTCTTCTTGATCTGTTCCTTATATTTTGCAAGTTCAGCATCAAGTTTCTTTATTTTGTCATCAACATTTTCACCTCTTTTATTAATCTGAAAATATATAAAACAAATATAAGTTCCAAATATGTTTAAATACTGGATAAATGGAACAAAACTTCAAAAAAACTAAAACTTCACACCACTGAGGAATAATGAACAATACAATCATTCACCCCATATAACCTCCTCCAAGTCTTCATCATGACAAAGCCATAAGTAAAAAACACAAACTTTCGGAAATATATCGTTCTATCTACCACTGCTGAACTGAAAACTCTAGGGATTGACTGACAAAAAGCATAAATGTAAGGAGAAATAGTTACACTACATATTAAATTTATTGACTAATCATATCATACCAAACAAATCTCAAACTTCACTAAATTTAGCATAATTAAAACTTAAAAATTACTTGCAAAATTTATCACATTTGAAACTTGTAATCATATCCAAACAAAACACACACAGAGAGAGAGAGAGAGAGATCATTTTCAACCCTAATCTAAAAATGGATCTAGGAGGGTTGCCAGTATTGTCATGAGAACCTCCATCAATTAATGCACAGAAATCCCTGCGGTAGAAAAATCAATATGGATAAGTATGATGTCTTTTAGGGAGCTACAACTGGCCCTCAATCAAATTGAAAGATATCCATGTAAAACCCAAGCCTAGAGCTCAAATATACTAAAAAAATGCTGATAAGAATCACTTGAGAAAACAACTAGCTACCAACTAGTTTCACTGATCTGCCATTACAACTTCACAGTGCCTAAATACACTATATCATCATTACTTTACGACCTGTCAAAACTCCTATGACCCAATCGTTACTTTACGACTAATCTGAACCTCCAAACACTCGATCATGAAATTCTTTTCCAAAATCCAGATAACCAAGATCATTTTGCTTCAAACAACAATACTGAAGCAGCAGATCATGAATTGAACAACCAATTTTCTCCCCGAAGCAACCAAAAACAAAAAGAAAAAAGGAACAACTGGTTTCGTCAACTGAAACACAAACCCGATCAGAGGCATCTTGAACGGAGGGCGGAGGTTCCTTGTCTTTCTTCACTCCAAATACCCTCCTCATCTTCGCTCCGGATCAAACAAGGTAGTCTCCTCCTCGTGTGCTCCAAAAGAAATTTAGGGCTTTTAGAAATTGGTCAGAAAATCAAACCCAGACGCAGAAAAATAGCAAGATACGAATTACTCCGGTCGTAAGTAGATTCGACGATGATAAACGCGTATCCGAAGAACTTTCCGGGTAAAGACCGCCGATTGATGGGCAATATTTTCTCGAACGGCGTGTGAAATTGCTTACAAAAATTAATATTTGGGCCACCCCTTTTTCAACATCTGTTTTAGCAACGGGCAGCCCAAAAGAGACTTTTGTCCAAAATAATAAACTTCTTATTATTTAACATTAAAAATATTTTTATATTTGTATAAATTTTTTATGTCATTTTATTAATAAAACACTAATGTTATTTTTGCAATTTCTTTTAATTTGTATTATATTTTTATATAGTAATTAATATTCAAATATCAACATGCAAAAAGTAAATGAGACTTTTAGAAGGTTATATTAAAAATGAATTACAAAAATTTAAAAGTGAATTCAATTTAAAATTTGTACTACATTTTCTTGGAAGGTTTAAAATTTGTGAGGAATATATGTATTTTTATTATAAATTATACATATTTTAGTTTTGATTTGAAGAAACTTTTTGAATGTGAATATAAAAAATTATGTGAGTAATATAAAAATTAATATTTTATATTGAATACTAATTTTTGTAAAAAAATAAATTATATATATTAAAATATTAGTCGGAAAAAAATGGGACAAACAAATCCCTTATTATTTAAAATTCAAATCCAAAACAAAAAACCACAAACAAACTAACCAAAAAGATTATTTTGTTTTAGTCTGAGACCAAAATAAATAATATTCATTCTTACACAGTTCTTAATAAACATGCAATATCTTTTGATATAAAATATTTATTAAATTTAAATTTAAATAAAAACCAAACAAAAAAATATATATATATATATATAAAACAAAACCAAACACAACAAATGTAATAATAATAACTAGTCAATGCCCCGTGATATCCACAGTGCAATTGACGAAAAAAAATTGCAATTTTTATATTGTATATAATCTACGAAAAAATTACAATATTCATCGTTTGAATTTAATCGTGTTTATCGTATCCTAATTGTATATATATTACATCCATTTTTAATCATCTTTTTTTTTAAAAAAAAAAAAGTAGTATTAATAAATTATACATATATATATCTTATCCCAAAAAAAAAAAAAAACCTTTAGGTTGTGTTTGGTTGTAGGTTTTCATAGGATTTTATATTATTTTTACCAAATTTTTTTTTATAAAAAACATGAAATCAAATATTTCTTCTTAAATTTATATAATATTTTGACACTAAAATTAAATTTAAATATAATATACTCCTTGTATCAGTATTTTTATGTTAGTTTTTTTTTTGTAAATTACAAAAAAAAAAAAAATCATGCATAAAATTCGAGGACGAAGAAAGTAATAAAAAAAAATTAAATATTTAATTTAATATCTTTTATAGAAAAAATTATAAAAGTAGTATAAAACCTGTAAAAATCTACAACCAAACACAACCTTAAGATTTTACTTCATCCGTCTCATATAATTTGTCCATTTTTTATATTTTCGTCCGTCCTATATAATATGTCATTTCATTTTTTGGATATATAATTATATATTTTAATCACATTTTAAAATTTATATTTTTTATTTTAATTAAACTATTTAGCGATCCTAATATTAATCTATAATTATTTATATTATATCATAATTTTTTTTATTAATATACTTTTTAATTACTTACTAATTATATAATATTTAAAACTCTGTGCCTCAGCTGAGGTGGACAAATTTTTACAAATTTTTTGGGACGAAGGGAGTAATATTTTTATATAATATATATAGATAAGTGTATAATTCATTAATACTATTTTTAAAGAATGATTTAATAATTTATGCTAACCCTTGTGTGTTTGTGGTAGGTTTTTATAGATTTTTTTATTATTATTTCTATAAATTTTTTTATAATAAAAATATTAAATCAAATATATACTTTTAATTTATACTCTATATGTCCTTCAATTTTATCAACGATTTTTTTTTTTTATTTATTTATATAGAAACTAAGCATAAAATTGACGGATAAAAAGAGAATATTATATTAAAATTTAATTTAGTGTCGTAATATTACATAAATTTAAGAAAAAATTATTTATTTTAATATTTTTGATAGAAAAATTTGGGTAAATGATAAGAGATCATATGAAAACCTACAACCAAACACAATTAATAATTTACCTTTTTTATATAACATAAATTTATAATTAAGATATTATCAATAAATAATTAATGTACTGAATTAATATTTAAACTATTAAAATAAAATTTATTTTTAAATTTAATTAATATACTCATATATGGGAACTCATATATATACAATTTATTTTTATATCCAAATAATGAACTCATGGTATATGTATATAATATAATTTGCTTCCTCGTAGAAATATTTTTGTCACCTCGTATAATTGATATTTTTGTTCTTAAGTTGCCTTACTAAATGAATGTTTAACGGTCATTATAATGACTTTTTTCCTCAAATAAAAATACAAACAAAAAATGAGTTTAGACTTAGTAACCATATCATATAATCTATAATAAAGGCTCAAATTTAAAATGAATATTCCATAATAAATTTCTATTATTGTAATAATAAAATTTTAACTATTTGCATTACACCAATTTTTTTTAGAAATAAATTAAAATTTTAATATATTACACAAACGTCAATCAAACTCAACTCTCCCAAATATCCTTAAAGTGTCCTCAACGTTCTCTAATTTTTTTTCCTCCCCCCCCTCTCTTGCTTCATGGTCTGACGATGATGTCGAAATTTATTTTGGTCACCCTCTCTTACTGGTCAATTGTAAGTAGTACTGAAGCTGTTAGCCAAATAAAAAAATAAAAATTCTTGTCACCCTATTTAAAAGAAAACTATTGGAAGAAAACACATTATCAATCTTTTCTTTAGCAAGATCAATTAAGGGTGTGTTCGTTTGTAAGATTTGTGCAAAATTTTACTATTTATCCAATTTTTTTCCCCCAAAAACATCAAATCAAACACTTATTTTTCATTTTTTATATTATACTAAAAATCAATTTTACATTCAAAACATCACATCAACACCTATTTATATCACATCGTACAACTATTCAAATTCAAAATTTTTACTATTCAAATCCCAACTCAAAATCTAAACCCCAAACAAACGCACCCTAACTTTATCAAACAAACCTCATAAAAGAATAAACAAATTTAATTAGTAGAAGCAAAATTTGAGAAGCAAAATTTGAATAATAAGGATCAAATTAAACCAAATCCAATTAAAATGAGTTTATCAATTAGTACTGTAAAGAAATCTAGAAATTAGGAATGCCTAACAAACTTGACCTTTCTTCAACTAAGAAATTTGTCTTTCTGTTCGTCATTAATTTAAAATTGGGGAAGAATGACGAACAATGATTTCTGTCGACAAAATCAGATGAGTGACGGACTCCAACCGAAGACGAAGCAACACCAGCGAAGGTAGCAGTCGACGGCGCCTCCAGACAACAGGGGTGACAATTATTTTCCGAAGTACACATAGCACATCCAGAAAACTTCTCAATTCCCTATGTACTTTGTTGGGAGTGTCTTCACCTATGCAGGTACATTTACAGTAAATCCTTTGAGGGTGTGTTTGTCTGGGGGATTGGATTGAATTTACACTATTTATCTCATTTTTTCCCCCCAAAAACATCAAATCAAATATCTATTTTTTTATTTTTTATATTATACTAAAAATCAATTTTACATTCAAAACATCACATCAACACCTATTTATATCATATCATACAACTGTTCAAATTCAAAATTTTTACTATTCAAATCCCAACTCAAAATCTAAATTCCCAAACAAACACAACCTGAGTGTTACTGAGTGGATAATGGACACAGGTGCCTCTTGTCATCTGTGTTCCAATCTGTCCATCATGACAGATACAAAGCTTGTTGATACATCTAATGATATACTTTTGCCAGATGGTTCATCTAAAATGCCAACACTTACTGAACATATTTAGTTGAACTCATTTGTGAGGCTTGCAGGGGTGTTTTAAATGTCTGATTTGGTTTTAAATATGGTATCTATCAACAAACTTATTATGGATCTTAAATGTAAAGCGATATTTGAATCAAAGCATTGTTTATTGCAGGACTTGAAGACTAAACAAACTCTCTACATTTCACTTTATATCTCTATGATACAATTCTACGTACATTCTTCTTGGAAGGTTATGAAATATATTGAAATTTATTTGTCTTCTACTAAACTTGTATTCCATGTGATACTTGTTTTTGTTCAAAATTTCATATATTACCTTTTAATGAGTGTGAATCTCATGCTAGTGAATTATTTGATCTAGTGCATATGGATCTTTAGGGTCATGTTTCTCATCCCAATACTACAAATTTTACTTATATGCTTACCATTGTTGATGAGTATTTCAGAGGACTTTGGGTGTATCTCTCTAACTACAAATATAAAACAACAACCACTCTCACCAAGTTCTTTACTCACGTTGAAACTTAGTTCTCCAGAAATGTTAAGGTGGTGAGGACAGACAATGGGATAGAATTTTGCAATCATAATTGTGAAGAACTCTTTCATCAATTGAGAATTCTTCATCAACAGACATGTGTTTATACATCTCAACAAAATGGCAGGGTTGAGAAGAAATATAGACACCTTATTGAAGTGGCTAGAAGCTTGTTGTATCATTCCAAGATTCCAAAATTTTACTGGAATAAAGCCATCTTGACAACAGTATATCTCATCAATAGAACTCCTTCCAGAAAACTGGGGTGAAAATAATCTTATTCTTTGATTTACAACAAAGACCCTGATGTATTCAATCTACATGACTTTGGTTGTTTGTATTATATGAAAGATTTCAGTTCCAAGTTGGGAAAACTAGATTCTAGAGGTGTTACAGGGATCTTCTTGGGTTACAACAACACCTAAAGGGGATATAAGATTCTTGATTGGATCTCTCATAAGATATGTATTTCAACATATATGCTATTTCATAATTCAATTTATCCTTTCCTGAGTTCTTCTTCAGACGTGGCTTCCACTCTCAAATCTCCTATAACGCTAAGGTTCTTTTTCCAATAATACCTCTTAACC